CATTCAGAACCTGGAACATTTAGAAAACTTGCAATATCAACAACACAACAGGCCCCCAAAAAATTACAACAATATTCTTTGCCAGAGTTCTATATTAGCTTCCAAGGGCCAGAGTAACAAAAGACAACAAACGTGGATGGCTGAAAACAACTGAAATTTATTCTTTGTTCTGAAGGAGAAAAGAACAAAGTGAAGGTATGAGCAGAGCCATCTCCCTCTGACAGCACTGGGGGGAATCCATATTGGCCTCTTACTAGATTCGGGGGGCTCCCAGAAATCTTTTGTATTCTTTGGTTTGCAGCTGCATCATCCCAATCTCTGCAGCCTTGTCACATGGCCGTCTTCTCTGGGTCTCTCTGTCTTCATATCTCTCTCACTTTATAAGGTTCCTAGTAATTGGATTTAGCACCCATCCCTATGCAGCCTAACTTCATCTTAACTTTGTTACATCTGCAAAGACCCTATTACCAAATCAGGTCACATTCACAGGTACAGGGGTTAGGATTTCAACATATTATTTGGGGGGGGGGGGCACAACTCAACCCACGACACATTCCTACTATAACAAGACAACACCAAAAGTGCAATTAAAATGTATTCTTCACATATAAAGTTTGTATCACACACTGTTTTCCCAATTCTTTTTTCTTCTTCTTCTTCTTTTTTTTTTTTAAAGAAAGACTGCCATGTGCAGCACCTCATTTGGATGTGTCTGGAGTCTTGGACCTGGAGAGCTTGTTTGGAGGTTCTAGCAGGGGAGCGCAGCTACTCCTATACCCTTGACCAAAGTTGGGTCCTCTCCTCTGGGGGAAGGTCGTCCTCTTTGACCTTAGGGAGGGACGCACATGGATCTGTGAGGGGAAGAGGGAGATACCCGCCTAGCCAGCCAGATCAGCGGAATCAACCCTGGCGATCATTGGGATGACGAATGTTGCAGCCAGATCACCCTCACATCCTGTTTTCCCAATTCTTAAGCTTTATCCCACTAGAGAGAAATGCCAGTTGATATCAGGGTACAGTTTATGGGTATGTGCAAGAAAATTTCATTGGTCATTATAAAGGTTGACATGTATTGAGCACCTACTCTGTGCCAGGTCCTTTACCTGGTGCTAGAGATAACAAGAGAAAAAAAAAAGGCACCAGTCCCCACTTTGATGGAGCTCATTATCATAGCCTGGACTGGTGCCATGACCTTGGCTATGGTAACAGACCTGGAATAATAAAGTGAGCACACCAGCTATTTTAATCACCTTGGTAAGAGAACTTGTAGAGCCCTCTATTAACTACACAGCTCTGTTAGATACTGCCCATTTCAACCAAACCTGTAAAAGTTGAGGGGATTACCTTCTTGCTGAAGATGAGTTAGCGTTATTGAAGGTAGCTGCGCATAAATTGTTGGAACACCAGGGGAAAGCAAAATGGAGAACAAAACAGATGGGAAAAGGGTACGGTCCTGCCAGTTGTTTTGACTTTCTTGTGTCACCTACCCTCACCCCTGACCAAGTATGAACCAGAGATGTTTGTTTTGCTTGGGTGCCCCAAGATGCAAACCCACTTATTGCCAACATTTAAAGTTGCTATTGTAGGTAGGTTCTTACTTCCAAACACTCTAGACAGGTTTTATGCAAACACAGGATTGGTTTAGGACTAGAAAGGAAAGAGATTATTTATTGTCAGAGTCCAAGCATCTCATTGTTGTAGATGAAAGAAGGCTGAAGAATATGACTTGGCCAAGGCCATGCAACTACAGTAGTGAGTACTGGAAGCTCCATGAGAATAGTCACCCTGTTTTTGGTGACCTTTGTATTCACAGAGATTAGCACATGCCTAGCAAATAGTGAGTGTTCAGTAAACATGTGCTGAGTGAACAAAATAGTAACTTGAATAATGAATGAATGAATCAAAAATATAGCTCTTTCGAATACTTTTTGCAATGCCATAATGATCTCCAATTTCTAACAGGCCTAAGATTCTCAATAAAAAGTTTCAAGGTAAAAAAAAAAAAGTTTCAAGGTAGTCTAATAAATACTTAGACATCATTTATTCACATGCTGTTAACTTAATTATTTAAAAGAGAATTTGTTAGTTTGTGTTCCAGATTATCCAATATTTACAGCTTTTGCTCTCAATATTTTTTTTCTGATCTTTATACCTCTTGAAAATTAAGCAGAGAAAAAGGAACTAAATCACAGATCTTGCTGGCTTGTTTACCCAGTAAGCCTTTTACAATAGTTGTTATCTGGTCCCAGCTGTTGTGCTAAATTTAGGATTTTGGATTATCTGTAACTGTTCTTTCTGTCTCCCATTACCAAGGTTAATTGAGAAGTGATTGTAGAACAAGTGAAACTTCAGTTCATAAAAGAAACTACATAATACACTATTCAATAATATCAGAGCCAAATTCACTGAGAGTTAACATTTGTAGCCATTATATAGATTAAAGAACTGTTACCATTGGTCAGAAGTTTCATCTTCATCAGAACATTTCCTTAAAAACAAAATGTTACCTTCCTGTATGTCCTGTCCTGTTTTTTTCTTTCTTTCTCTCGCAAATCAATAAAGAGAGAGAGAGAGATGAAGGGAGAGAGAGAAAAAAACATCAATTTGTTGTTCCACTTATGCATGCATTCATTGGTGGATTCTTGAATGTGCCCTGACTGGAATGGACCCACAACTTTGGTTGTATAGGGATGATGCTCTAACCAACTGAGCTACCTGGCCAAGGTTGTTTTGCTCTGTTTTTTAAAATATGTTTTTATTGATTTTTAGAGAGAGAAGAAGGGAGAGAGATAGAAACATTGATGAGAGAGAAACATCATTGATCGGCTGCCTCCTGCGCGCGCACACCCTCTCCCTTCTACTGGGGACCAAGCCTGGGTATGGGCCCTGACCAGGAATTGAACCGGTGACCTCTTGGTTCATGGGTGCATGCTCAACCACTGGGCCACACAGGCCGGGCTGCCCTGTTTATGTATGTGTGTTTGTTTGCTGTTTTTTTTTAAATCCTCACTTGAGGAAATATTTTTATTGACTTTAGAGAGAGGAAGGGTGAGAGAAACATCTATCCGTTGCCTCCCAAAGAGGCCCCAACTGAGAATCTAACCTGAAACTGAGGTATGTGCCCTGACCAGAATCTATCCAGAAACCTTTTGTTGTACAGGTCAACACTCCAACCTACTGAACCACCTGGCCAGGACTGCCCTGTTTTGATTAGATACAATCTTAGAGTTAAGGCTGATAATTGTAGTTTTGAATGTAATTTTACAGTACATATCAACACATCTAGAACATCTTACTAATTTTTCATAAAAGAAATTTCATGTATTTGACAGATCTGAGGCAAAAAATGCAATTTCCAATTTCATACTTCCCAATCACTTTTCTGAAGTAAAAGTAATACATACTCACTGAAAAACCTTGGAAACCACAGAAGAGTACAAAGACAAAAGGAAATCACCTGTAGACCTTCCCTGTTGTGATTCTTGTATGCAAAATTATTTCTAAAAAAAAAAAATCTTCTCCTAATGAAACCAAAGAGCATGGCAAATTTCGTACTTCTCCTTGCCTCTGTTTTGAGCTCACAACCCCATCTGTACTTTGCCTATTCACTGAGTAGCTAATAGCTTCAGTACTTGCTAGGATTGCTTTTTTAAATTACAGCAGATCTTTGTCATCTGTTTGTGTTTGCGTGATGACACAACATCACAACCGAAATGTCATGTCACATTGTTACAGCAAACAAGAAAATTACAGCTCCCCAACAATAACATGGTGTCAATAGAGCCCTCCTGGCATGAGTCAGTGTTTTAGATGTTATACAAGTTATTTTTAGCAGTCAGTGCCTCCGGAGCTTGGGTTCCGAATCCTGCAAAAATCCCCAAGGATTGGGGAAAATCTAGAGTACGAGGGGTTTGTCCTTAAACTTCCGAATCCCCGATGCGCACGGCTGCCCACTCTCCTGTCCTGACCACATTAGCCGCGGGGTCCACCGTGCGCTGCAATCCACTTGGTGCTCAGACAGAACTCTGCGCCAGCCTCGCGTGTGGAGGAGGAGGCGGCGAAGGAGGAGACTAAAATTATCCTCCACGTCTGGGGCAGGCCCTCGGATGACATCTCCCCAGTCACCCTGTGTTCTAATAGCGCAGCTCAGATTCCTGGTCCCAGACGCGCTGCAGCTGGCTCCGAGCTCAGAGTTCAGACGGGAGGCGACCGCCACCGGAGCGCC